AATGAGACCCACTACAAAGGTGGCAATGAAAATGCATGAAAGAAAGACATTAAAGCTCATAAAGCCCTCATGCTGCATTGTGGTATTATGTGTTGTGTCTCCGGTCATGTTTTCAGCTCCAAAACGGGTGCCTCCTGCACAGAGAAAAAAGAGAGAGAAAACACAGTGAAGGCTGATTTTGGGTCTGTTTTGGCCATTCCTGTGGCAATTACTGTGGCAATACCAGATATTGACCAGTGTTTGAACAAACAGATTTGTGACCCTGGACCACAAAACCAGTCCTAAGGGTAAATTTTTTTGAAATTATGATTTATATATCATCTGAAAGCTGAAACAATAAACTTGTTAGGATTGGACAATATTTGGCCGAGATACAACTATTTGAAAATCTGGAATCTGAGGGTGCAAAACAATCTAAATATTGAGAAAATCACCTTTAAAGTTGTCTAAATGAAGTCCTTAGCAATGCATATTAGTAATGATAATACATTTTTTATATATTTACAGTAGCAAATTTACAAAATATATTCATGGAACATGATCTTTACTTAATATCCAAATGATTTTTGGCATAAAAGAAAAATCTATAATTTTGACACATACAATGTATTTTTGGCTATTGCTACAAATATACCCGTGCTACTTATGAGTGGTTTTGTGGTCCAGGGATACATTTGATTTTATAACTTGATTTTTTTATGAGTGAAATATGAAATGTAATGTAATGATGCACTGCTTGGTCCACAGAAATGGCTGAATATTGAAAAAAATGCACTTATTAGCTGTACCAAATCAAGATTTTTTAATGTGTTTGCAGTGTAAACGTGGTTAGGTGCAATAAAGAATACCAATCACAATTCAGAATGCAAACAGATTTTAGGCAAGGCAAGGCAATTTTATTTCTAGAGCACATTTAAAACAGCAGCTGCTGACCAAAGTGCTGTACAATCTGAAAATTGTTACACAAAACAGTTAAGCACAGTTACATAAACATACATATTAAAGAGAATTACAATGATCGAAAAGCCAGAGAGAAGAGATACATCTTCAATGAAGATTTAAAACTTCCAACATCAGGAGACAACCTAATATGTGCCGGTAACTCATTCCACAATCGAGGGGCAACAACTGAAAAGGCACAATTTCCTTTTAACCTTAGACGAGACCGAGGCACAGACAACATCAAACTATTAGAAGACCTTAAGGGTTAGGGCAATTCCGATGGAGAAGAAGAACTGTAATGTATTCAGGAGCTTGATCGTTTAATCCCTTCTAGACAAACAATAAAACCTTAAATTTAATGCAACCAATAAAGTGAAGCCAGAACAGGCGAAATATGTTCCCTCTTTCTAGTCCCAAGGAATCTGGCAGCAGCATTTTGTACCAATTGCAGATGGGATAAGGAAGACTTAGACACCCCGAGGTACAGTTAGTTACAATAGTCGAACCTGGAGGTAATAAAAGCATGGATCACAGTCTCCATGTCCTTTACCGATAAAAATGCTTTCAACTTTGCAATAGAACTGAGATGATAAAAACTTCTTTACAACTGCATTAATTTGTTTATCAAATTTAAGGCCATTGTCAAAAATCACTCCTAAAATGTGTACATGTCCATGAGAATTCACAGATAAAAAGCCTAATTGATTACTAATCTGCGTAATAGAGGCTGGTGGACCAAAAACTAAAATTTCAGTTTTAGAATCATTCAGTGTTAAAAAAATTGGCAGCCAGACAAGATGTAATCTGATCTAAACTATCTAATCATTATGTTTCAAAGGGAGATGGATCTGAGTATCATCACCATAAAAATGTTAAGGTATGTTATGCTTCTGAAAAATAAGACCTAAAGGGAGTAGATAAAGTAAAAACAGAAGTGGGCACAAAATTGATCCCTGAGGCACACCACAAATTAATGGAGCAAAAGAGGAAGAAAAATTTCCAACCTCCACCGAAGAGATATGATTTAAACCAATCCAATGTGGGACCTTGAATTCCTACACACATTCTCAGCCTTTCAAGTAAGTAAGTATTTTAGAAAGAAGTCCAAAGATCTGTGTGCACTGATTGTATCTTAAACAGTTTTACTATTGTTTTACTATCTCTATTACTGAGAGATGTTTAAAAAAACCTGTGATATGAATAATATACATATTCAGTTCTTACCCATTTTTTGAGCTGTTGATGTACTGAGACAAGCCGAGTCTTGCTCTGTCTTCTCGGTCCTGTTGACAGATTGTTGTTTTTATACCAGACAGCAAAGCCTGGTACTACATCCCTAGGCTGATTTGTTGTTTTTACTGAAAAGGGGCGAAAATGTGGCGTCATCATCACTCTTGATGAAATGATTGAATCTGTATCTGGTACCACAGTGGGCATGTACCTACAACAGAGTCTTTCCTGCCCCACTGGAATGTTCCTGTAACTCAAACAGTAAAGCATACTAGGATTGAATTCAAATGCATTAACTAATAAAGAAGCATTGTAAGTTGTTTTGGACAAAAGTGTCTGCCAAATTTTAAGTGCATAATTTTATTATGTTTCAGTGATTAAACTGAAAGTCACAAGAATAGTATGTTTTGATATTATGGTTATGTGAAGTATTCAGAGTGTTTTACCCATCTACCCATACATGTGTAACAGTCTGACCCAAGCCACACTTTAACACCAAAACAACCCATTCAAGGTTTCTGACACATGAGCACATAGAGAATGGGGTTCAGACAGCTGTTCAACATAATCAGGCATTCAGCTATTGCTGTACTTGATAATACTCCCCAAAAACTTTCAAACCACTTATTCTCAGCTGCAATTACCATATAAATGCAACAAACATAATAAGGAAGCCAGCATATGAAAAAGGCCAGGACCACAGCGATGACCCGAAAAGCCCTGAACTGCTTTTTTCTTTTAGGTTGTTTGACTCGTACTGCAATAGCTATATAAAGATGCAATTATTAGGAAGGGGAGAAGGAAGCCCACCATAAACACAAATATGACCAGATGTTTCAGTGATTTTATGTTCATGGTAACCTGTTTATGGTTCATGGTTATTAAGGCAAAAAGAAGGCTGCAACCAGTGGATGAAATCCACACAATCATGCAAATTATCCTGGTTTTGGCTAGAGTTATTTTATTTTTAGCCCATGTGTGCAGGCATCGGTCCAGACTGATAACGCTTGGAAAAAAATGCTTGCAAACATATTTGTTGCAGCTGCGTCACAACAAAAATAAAGAACCCTGCAAATGAAGTTGTTGAAGTGGTGTTCTCCAAAGTACGAACTGATGTTTAGGACTGGAAAAATGATGAAAAAGAAGTCTGCAACTGCCAAGTTGAGAAACCAAATGGCGTTTACCGACTTCTTCATTTTATGATCAGTCATGTTAAGGCATGTACCCAAGACTCCATATACCAGCATGCCAGCCGATATTGTGGTAAAATTATGTGTGATGATTTTGGTTATATTTTCCACATTTCCCAAGCACACTACACAAAGCGAGAAAATGCAATGAAGGCAACAAACTACATAAAATACAATCAACTTATAGCAACTTTAACACCTTAAAGGTTGGATACATTTAAATAATAACAAAGAAGTATATGTATTTGGGTGAAACAATGTTTTATCTGTATTTAAAGTATGATGTTCAATTTATTCATACACATTAACCCAATCCCAAGATAAATATATATATATGTAAATTCAAAGACATTCCAAATTTAAATATCACATTGAAAACATTGGATATGTAAATACTACTACCCCTCCTCCTACGACTAATAAAAAATCTCACAAAATGATGCTCTCTCTTTGAGACTGCATTTACACATTTATGCTGTAATTGCTAAATGTTCAGAGGTGTTTAACGAATGTTGCTGATTGATTCTTACTGATTTCTTGAGGTTTGTTGTTAATCCACAATAGCTTCATTGCACGTTCCACCCTAACTTTAGTGTTCATGCAGAGGTGCGTCTGAACGGGACGAGTGTTTCTGTGCAAATCTCATTGATCTTTGTCAAGCTTTAGCTTTATATAAGCAGTGAATCTTTATATCCTTATAGGCTGATTTGTAGTTGTTACTGATAAGGGCCTAAAATGTGGTGTCATTAGCAAATTTGATGTAACTGCAGCTATCAGACATCATCACAGTGGGTAGTACACTAACAACCGCCGACAGACAAGACAAATGCACCATGCATTTTACAACATTTTATGATTAAAACACAGTATCAGTCAGCTGACATTTTGCTAACGTTCTCATTATGTTCCCATTAAAATGTTAATTCTGATTCGCCTATATCATGCAAACTTTATGGAAACATTACATTTTATAAATTTGCAAACACTATGGGAACATTACTTTTGAATGTTGTCTGAACATTCTGAAACTAATAGTAACATTTAAAAAAAAACTTAGATGAACATCCAACTAAAGCAAAAGTAAAATGTTCCATAAACATGTCTGTGCTAATATTTTGTAATAATGACCAACTGGTATTTTCCCCCCTATATTTTGTCACATATATCATTAGTTAAACTGATTAAATTGTTAACCAATATCTTTATAGTTTTGTATTTGTACCAGAAATCATATTTTATTTATTATCTTGTTATTTTTATTCATTTTGTTGCTTTTTAGGGAAAACCATTCAATAAGAATTTGCCACTGCGAGAGCATAAATATCCTTTAGGAAATTGGCATCAAATACAGGTAACATTTTTTTGATGCACTGTGGTTTTATTCAGAATAAAGTTCAAACAGAAATCAGCAGAACAAAATGAGCTTTTGCATATTTAGATTCATGAAAAGTTTCACAAACATATATAACGTTCATTAGCCTGTACTTGAAGAGATTTTCTCTGTTTGGTTTTACAACACACATTATACACAGTCATGCTCCAAACATGAATTTTGCATTTGCTGTTTTTTACAAGTTGCTTGATAAGGACTATAAACATACTGATTAGATCCAGGTTTATCATTTAGAGACCAGTTTTCTACATATCTAACAATTCAGTTGGGTTTTCTTGTCCTGATCTTTCTTTTGCATCTCCCTTAAAATCCAGATGATCCTCAGCAAAAGCCGTCTCCAGCACCAGCAGCAGAGACTGTTTAAGCTTCTTCTTATACTCATCACACATGAACACATAGAGAATGGGGTTCAGACAGCTGTTGAGATGAACCAGGTAGATACTGATAGTCGTTGCTGTCCCAATTACTTGTCGATCACTGGCACTCCAGTTATTTTCTACTGCAGTTATTATACAAAAACTTATAGCATGATATGGAAACCAACATATGAAAAAAGCCAGAGTTACAGTTATAATAACTCTGTACGACCTGAGCTGCTTTCCCCCTTTGAGGTGTTTGATTCGTACTCCAATACCTATGTATGAAGTTGCAATGATCAGAAAGGGGGTGAGGAAGCCCACTATAAATTCATATGTGATCAGAGACATATTGTCTTCAAAGGAAGGAATGCTGCAGCCAATGGATGAAACCCACACAATTATGCAGATGATCCTGGCTTTAAGTAAAGTTCGTTTATTTTGAGCCCGAACAACCATCCATGTGCACAGGCATTGGTCCAGACTGATAACTACAAGAAAAAAAATACTAGCAAACAGATTTAGTGTTAACATGATCTGGAGAATGTAACTCATGAAGTAAAGGTCCCACTGGCCCAAAAATGAGAGAAGATCTATGATTGAAGACAACATGAAGATGAAGTCTGCAATTGCCAAGTTGAGAAACCAAATGGAGTTGACAGTCGTCTTCATTCTGCAGCCAGTCAGAAATATGACAAGCCCATTTCCAATGAGACCCACTACAAAGGTAACAAAGAAAATGCATATTTCAAAGATATTAAAGCTCATAAAATCCTCATGCTGCATAGTGGTGTTATGCGCTGTGCCTCTGGCCATGTTTTCAGCTTCAAAACTGGTGTTTTCTACACAAAGAAGAAAGAGAGAAAAAACATGTGATGGCTCATGAGCACCAGCTTATCATTGTTTCTCATGTGCAAAATAATTGTTTTGTGCTGTACCACACACCGAAATGTGTTCAGTTTTGTTCTCAAGTCATAGTGAGTAATGTTGATATTCTGTTGCATCAAATGCATGGAGGAGAGGAGGAACAAAAAATGTTTTCTTTTTCAATAAACTGACAAGTTCTCATTTTATGACCATAGCAGTGCATGGATGAATGATGTAAGAAAGCTATTTAATATGAATTACAGTATTTAACATAATTTCTGCTGTCTGACTTCACATTTAACAAAATGTTTTGTCTTGTCATGTGTGAGGGGTCAGGTTTTTAAAAATTTTTTATAGAGTATATGAAACTTTTGCCTTTTGCCGCTTTATGTCCATTGCTGTGGCAATCAGTGTAGATGTACCAGATATTTATTTATTTAAATGTATTTGAAAAGGGACCATGCGCAATTTTAAGATAAATATTTCCATTTCACGCATTGTACCGAATTTAGCCAATGGCTAGTTTTCATATTGACCAGAGTTTGAACAAATTCAATTTCATGACTTGATTTTTACTGAAAAAATATTTCTAATTGTGAGAGATGTGTGCGAATGAACTGTGAATAAAAGCAATAATGCACAGAAACTGCTGAGTTTGCAAAACTATTGTAAAAAAGAAGAAAAAAAAAAGACTTCTGTTTGCGGTGTAAATGTGGTTAAATTCAATAAAGAAGACCAATCAAAATTGAGAATGCAAATATTTCAAAGCAGTCATGCCAGCAGTTAGTGGTTATGTTTTGAAGACTGTATTTGGGCAAATTCCCCTAGTGTCTGGCGTTGATACCAAAAGTTGATTTAATACCTTCCTAATCTGTAATCTGTCCAGTTTCATTTATTTGAAGAATAATATCCATCATCAATTATGATAAAATTGTTACATTGTTTTTATATTGTCAACAACACTTTATATTATATTGATGATGTGAATGTTTTTTTTTATTCAGTTGCTCCCTTTAATGTTTGAGTATAATAAAATTGGAAAAAGTAATTTCAACAAATTTTTTTTTTTAAATCTTACCTATTTAAATCTCAAATAACTGAAACAATGAAGATGTAATTGGTTTATATTTTTTTGACATGTTAAATAATGAAAAAAACAAGTTTTGCCATGACTTGTTCATATCATTTTTACAATACACTGCATTGATTGTATCTTACACAGTTTTGCATTTACTACACTCTGCATAAAAAAAAAAAGTAATATGAATAATGCACATACCCATTTTTTTGAGCTGTTGATGTTCTGGGACAAGTGAGTCTTGATCTTTCTCCGTCTTCTTGGTCCTGTTGTGTTGACAAACTGTTGGTTTTATACCAGACAGCAAAGACTGCTATTACATCACTAAAGGCTGATTTGTCATTATTACTTATAAGCAGGGCCGTGGTGGCCCGGTGGCTAGAGCCACTGCCCCTTTGCCCTCATCAGCTGAGTTGCCCCTCTTACCAATCCCCCCATCCCCACAGCTCAAAGCTGTCTGTTACCACTCCGCTAAAGATCCGCTGATTCTGCTAATCCACTCAAAGCTGTCTGTTTCCCGCCCGCTCCACAGCATCACTCACAATCTGTGTGCCGCTCTCTGGAGAGTGGAGACCACAGTCCCCGAAGGTAGTTGCATTACCAGGTAGATGCATTACAATCCACATTAGTCAGTGGTTGATCCACTGAATTAGTCATTAGTTGGTAGTTTGTTTTTATTTTTGTCGGTAATGACTTGGCCCGCTAACAACTTGTACAAAATATCCATGTTCTTAGAATTAGAATGTCTAATCAAATTATTATACCCGATCAAATCTAATATGGATAACCCCAAATTTGCTGTTGTTGACACACTTTGTAGAAAAAAAAAAAAAAAATGCCTTCACAAAAAAGAAGACAAAGAGAGAAAAAGCAAATGTATTAGTATATAATATAGATTTATTCTGTAAATGTTTTTAATTTTGTCGGTAATGACTTGGCCTTCTAAAAGCGCTAACAACTTGTAAACTATCCATGTTCTTAGAATTAGAATGTCTAATCAAATTATTGCACCCAATCAGATCTAATACGGATAACACCAAATTTGCTGTTGTTGGCACGCTTTGTAGACAGACAAAAAAATGCCTTCACAAAAAAGAAGACACAGAGAGAAAAAGCGAAGGGAGGCTGCTAAAGGCAGTTCAACATTGCAAAAATGAATTCAAAGCTCCAGCAAGCCAGCAGGTAAATCATCATTTAGAATATTTAGCAGTTTGTCACACTTTAATTCTTGTAATTAAGTACATTTCCCATTATAATTACTTGATACTAGTAATCTATAACCAGTGTTGGGAGTAACGCGTTACAAAAGTAATGCATTACGGTAACTGATTACTTTTTGCTGTAACGCAGTAGTGTAAGGAATTACTAATCAATTTTCAGTAATATTTTACTCGGTACATGTTCAGTAACGCATGCGTTACAACACACTTTTAGCCCAAAATTTAATTGTTCAAAGAAAAGAAAAACAGCAAGACCGCGAGACATTAAAAAATAAAAAATGCCGCAATATACTTTACTGAATTTAAGGTGACTTTTAATTAACTGGGTTAAGCCTACTGGGATGGCTCTCATCAAAGTATTATATTCCTTTGGTGGGACAGGAAAATTATGGAGATTCATAAATTTTTCACAAGTTAAAATATTACCAAAATCATCAAACACAGATAGAATACTGTTCAAGTTGTTATTAAGAGACCCTAAAATAAAGTGTTACCTTAAGTTCTACTTCTGTAGTTATTTTGGTAAAAGTAACTCAAATGTAATACAGGAGTCATGGAACGCATTACAGTTCTGAGACAGTAATATTGTAAGGTAAGGAATTACTTTTAAATAACAGTAACAAGTAATCTATAATGTATTACAGTTTGGAAGGAACTTGCACAACACTGTCTATAACACATCATATTTTATTAAAACCAAATTAAGAGTATACATTTTCTAAATCAGTTGTTTATTAGTATATAATATAGATTTATGCTGTAAAATGTTAAATTAAATGTCTAATACTTATAGGGGAGAGTGGGGTAAGATTAGCCACTTTTTATTTATGTGGTCCTCAAGATAAGGGAAAATGACGCAGAAGAACAATGAAAGTATCTATCCTATCCTATCCTATCCTATCCAACTGAAAGTAATCGTATCAATTTAAATGATCAGAATGTATCTATGACAAAGGGTTCTAAAAACAATGCTTCTTATAAAAAAAGTGTTCCCATGGCTCAGTTTGCCCCGGTTTAAGGTTAAAAAAACGTTTTCGGTCTGAAAAGCAAGGTGTGCTGTGATTGGCCAGCTATCCAGTGTGTTATGATTGGCCGAATACCTCAAGCCTGTGACAGAAATGTTACACCCCTACCATATTGCCTTGTCAGGCCGGAGCGATGATTCAAAAACATGAAAACCATTATAAACGAGGCATTCGTTGCATCCAGTGGGGACATAATTATGGATTATAATGACTTATACTGTCTTTTTACGCATTGCGTTGCATCGCGCCGCATAAACATAAAACCATGTCTGCATTTGTGATCGGAGAAATGACAAACAACAAGCCCTACTCTACACTTCCCAAAAAACTATATTATATTATATATTTATATTAAATATAAAAACTCTTTAAATATAAAAAACGTATTTACAGTCCGTGAGTCAGAACAGCCGGCATTTTAGTCTACTCTACCAGGATCAG